TCTGACAACCTGTCAACATGGGTCTACAGCTGTCCGACACCCGAGTTTGCTGTTTCGCAGCCGAGGTGTGTCCCCTTTTTAACAAAAACAACTCGGAGCCTGCTTGTCTACCGTTGGGGCGGCCGGGAAGGGGCTGGCGGCCACGGTGCGGGTGACAGCCAGCGGCGAGCAGCCTCTTCTCCGAGGCCGGAGTTGCCTACGCCTCCCAGGGACATCTTTGGCAGAAATGCACTCAGGCGCCCTGGGTGCGCCACTAAACCAACGTGGCCTGACACTTCCAGCGCGACGTAGCACTTGGTATCAACAGATCATCCGGCAATGACTGGCCTCGCTGCACTGGGAGAAACAGAAAGTGGCCGAGCTCCGCGGGCTTTCCTGATTGTGAAAACTTCGAGAAAGAGCCACCCCAGCTGAGGAGCCACTGCCTTAGGGGAAGCAGACGCAGTCCTTGGCGGTGGGTTCCTGGAGGAAGGGGGTCGGGAGGGTAAGGAAGTGAGGGAAAGGGGCCTTTTCTTCGCCGAGAAAGCACCCTTGCAGCTGGAAGAAACCTCCACCCCCACCCCATACTCCTCACCCCCGAACCCCAAACTCCCAGCCCCCAACCCCTGCAACGGGGGAAGCCACCGTGGCCTGGGCGCCCTCGTTTGTCCACTAGGTGTGCAGATGCAGGAAGTGAACTTGTGTGGAGCGCGCAGACCCGAGCTGACGGCGGGGACGGGGCTGCCACCTGGCCCCCAGCCCCTTGTCCCTTTTCTTCCTCCATCTCCCCTCGCCACCCTCAACCTCGCGGGAAGAGCGGGCGTCCGAAGCCAGACACGGGGAGCTCCGGGGTGGCTCCGGATCGACGCGGGCCTGGCCACGACGCTCCCAGAAGCACACTCCGAATGTTCTGTCCTCCTAGCTTCCCTGCGATGGGGACGGCCGGGGCAGGCCCCCTCTGCGCTGCGCTCGCCGGCTTGGTCGCGGCGGTGCGGGACGGGAGCATGGCCAGGGACCCGCCCCAGCTCCTGGGCCTCTTGGCGCGCAGCCTCCTAGGCGGCGGCAGACAGCAGCCCTCCGCAGCGTTTCCGCACACTGCACCCCGCCGGAGTTTGTGCCGCACACCCAGGCGTCGGACTCGGCTTAGGCCTCTGGGCCCCTCGCCCGCATGCTGTGTTGCTGGCGACCAGAGCCACCGTACCCGGGACACCGGCCGAGCCCCCGCCTCCTACTTTCCCCTCCAGCTGCGCAGAACCTAGAGGCCCGGGGCTTCTGCAGCAGGAGGAAGGCTCCCGTTTCCCGGGCCTGAGGACAGACACTGAGCCATCGCCAATAATTAGCAACAATAATGCCCATAATAGTACTGTAATTACTAATTACCAGCTCCTAAATCGGGCTTGATTTCTCAGTTCTCAGTCAGGTCTTCCTCCTGTTCATGCTGCTCCCCCGCCACCCCCCAACACCCTCCCCTCCACCACCCCCCAAAGCCCCTCCAGCCACCAGGGCTCCTTTCCTGCTTTGACATAGATTCTGAGGCCTGGGGTGGGCACTCGGTGCCATGCATCTTTGAAGCCCAATACAGATCTCTGATTCCCAACCCCCTTCCCTCTACCCCAAACAAATCCAACCACTGCAGTCTAGTCACCGTTTGAGAAATGGGGCAGCCTCACCACTGTCCTGTTTAGCAAACTCCAGTGTCACATTTCAAAGTGACAGGTAAATAGGGTGAGATAAGCCCTCTTGCTTGACCTGGAGAATGAGGTGGAATGTAGGTGCAGAGACACTTCTCAGTGTCAGGATTCAGCCTCAGGGATTGATGACCTCCTTCCCACCCACCTGCCACAACACCCCACCCCACCTGTGGCCTCAGGCGAGGCCAACTTTGGTCACTCGGTAGCTATCAGAATTTGGGGCTGCGGGTGATGACGGGGACCCGGATGCAGTCTGCATCACCTCCAGCGCACTTTTGTATCAAGTGATTTTAAGCAGGTTTTAAGTCTTGATGGAAGGTTTACTTGCTCCAGGGGTAATGGAAGCTCCTGAGGACAGCAGTGAGGTGAGCAGGGAGGACGTGGCTGTCCCCCACCTGGAAACTGCCCTGTGAACTCTGCCTGAGGACTGCACCATTCCAGAGGAGGTGGCAGCAGCTAGGCCAGTGGACTTGCTCTCAGGAAGTCCTAAAAAGGTACAGAGGAAAGCGACTCTGGCCCATTCTCTGCCCAGGGCCTGGACCTGGGGCTGCACTGGAGGTTCCTGGGCTTAAAACCAGTTCCAGAAGATCCTAGGAAAGCCTGGCAGGCCCGAGCTCACCTCCTCCCTTCTTTGTCCTTGGACCTTTACCGAAAAACTTGCATCTAGAACACTAGGTAGCAATGCGGAGAGAGGATTGCCACCCCAGCATCCCATTGGAGAGGAGGCCGGATGCAGAAGGAGCGAAAAGCTCCTTGCTCAGTGTCCACAGGGATATGCCTCCCGCTGCCCGGCCACTCTTTCTTAGCATCTCATGGTTAAGTGGCACCTAGGGCTCCACAGCGCAGCATACCCCAACCTGGAGAAAAGCTCTGCCTCCAGGAGGCTTGGGTCTGACTTAAATATCCCCTTTAACAAGGGTCCAGAACTTTCCCCAAAGTGACCAGTCGGGCTCACTGGTTCAACTCCTCTGGTGTCCATAGGGACGCAGGGCAAAGAGGAGGGATGACCCGGATCCTGCAGTGGCTCCTGAACACTGGAGGGAGGGAGGGTGTGGGGTCCACCTTACCCCCGTGGAAAAGGGACGGCCCCAGCCCTGCTGTGCTGGATCAGCGAGCCAGGACAGACCCGCTTCCCCAGACTCAGCCATCGTCCCTGTCTTGCAAGGGGTGGCCTGGACAGGCCCAGCCACTCCTCGGAAGGCTGTGCCTGGCAGGAGCGGACCTCACCCGGTCGCTGCCCCGTAGTCACTGTACAGAGGCAGAACCGAGGAGCGGTGCAAATCCAGACCTAGGGGTCGCTGCACGGCCGAATCGGAGCTCCGCCTGGTTGGCATCCCGGATCCAGTCTGGGAGCCACGGAGCACACGTTCTCTGAGGACCTGGGGTAGTTGCCCCAGGTCGCTGGTGAGACCCCGCGAAGCTCGACAGTGGCGGTGACAGGGACCCCGGAGCTGGGAAGCCCCGACCCCGAGTCCCCGGGTCTGGGATGGACATGGGCCTCTGGGTGCACCCTTGTGTGTGCACAGCGCGTGTGCCACGGAGGGAGCGGGCTGGGTGCGAGAGGAGAAGGGACCCCGAGGCCTAGGGCTGCAGAGGGGAGGGCGCAGCGCTGATCAACGACGCGCTTTTGAACCGAGTTGGCGTTTAAGCAGGTTTTATGTCTCGATGGAAAGTTTACTTGCTCGTCATTATTCCTTTGTAGCAGTTTTGTAAACGGGGGAGAACTGTTAGCCCTTCTCTGACAAATATCGGGTTCCCGTTTTCTCTCCCCTCAGTCCTGGGCGAGTCTTCGCTCCCCTCCCCACCCCAGCCCCTGGGGCGTATTGACATAAGGATGAGGTTAAACAATCCCCACAGCATCCTCATTTGCAATTTTATTTCTTCCAAAATAATTACCCAGTGATGTTTAAGCTCTGCCGTCTGGGAGTCTCTGATGAAGAGGAGGAATCTCACAGGGTGACCGCTTTCCTCCCCGGAGCCACCTTTGGGACCTGTGCTTGGAGCCGAGGACCGGGACCACACTGACCCGACACCGAGATGCGGTGGGAGGCACCGCGGTCTTCGTCGCCTGCCTTTCAAAACGGGCCACTCGTTGCTATACAGATGGCAGGGCTGCCGCGCCTGGCCGCAGCTTGGTGGCGGGGCTGGGAGGTCCGACCTGGCCCGCGTGGACCCCAGCCGGGCCTGCGCCCCGACACGCGCTAACCGATTCATGAGTCTTGTTAAATACTCATTAGGACTCTGCACCTTTCTCCAGCAGGACCGGGAAAGTCACCCAGGCGACAGCGAGGCGACTGTCAGTCCACCGCGGTGGAGACCCGCGCGGAAGCGTGCAGCCCCTGGGTGCCAGGCCGGGACCCCAAGCCGGTCCAGCTGTGGCGACCCCACAGTTCCCTGGACCAGACCCCTGGTGGCCGCGGGCTCTCCTAGCACTCCAAGCCGGGGCCCACGCTGGGGGCCGGGGACGCCCCAAGTGAAGCCAGGCAAAGAGTAGCACCCAGCGAGTGGCCATGCCGGTGGGCGGGAGGAGATGCCCCGAGTGGCTTCAGCTCCAGGAAACCCTGTAAGGAAAAGCGCGGAATCGAAGGACGCAGGACGGTCGGACGCCCAGGGTAGTGCCCTGAGCAGCAGGCGTCGCGGAGCCAGAGCCACCGCCGAGTGGGGCCGCGCTCCCGGAATGCTGCGGCGGCCGAGGCTGGCACCCGCCCTGAGCTGGGCCTGGGTTTCCCACGGACACAGGGCAGAGGAAGGGAGCACTGTGGCCCGGCCTGCAGTGCCGCGATGTCGCTGCCTCCGAGTGTCGGAGGACGTGACTTAGGTGTGTGTGCACGCACGTAAATATTTTATAAACCTCACCTTAATTAACCAGATCATTTCCATTATGCCTCCAGTATGAGCAACAGCAAGGGTGTGAAGGTTTTCAGGGTTTATAATTTGATGTCACCAGACGGTTGCTCGGGGGCAGAGGCACAGTCACCGCGCCAGCTGCACTCGTGTTTATTTGTTTTGCTGCCGTGTTCCTGTAGGGCTCCATTATGCAGTTTTTAATTAGTTCGTGCTTGTATCCGCCCGTCCCCAATCAATGCCATCCCGGAGCAAGGCGGTGTCATTCCCGCAGTACAGGTGTAGCTGCTGCCCTGGTGCACCAGCGAACGCGTGTCTGACACGTGGAAACTGGGCCGCCACGCAGCCGACTGTCAGCTCTGGGCAGATCAAAGCCAGCGGGGACCTCGGAGCCCTCGTGAGCGCCATCGTGATGGTTTCGGCTCTGATGCCATCAGAGGCAGCTGGGCACAGCACGGCGAGGAGGACTTTTCAGTTTGCTCCAGTCCCGTGGTCCCTGGGCCGGAGCTGGCCTCCGGATCTCCTTCTGCTTGGGGCCTAACCCACCCCGGGCCCCTAACCGCAGGAGGGTCGCACCCCACCCCCCTGGTTTCATGTGCGTGCACCTAACCCAGAGCCTCAGAAAAATCACTGGACATCCTGCCCACTTCCACTAACCTTAACCCAGAGCAATAAAGCTCCAAAGTATTCTGGAATCTCTAGACCTGAGACATCCCCCTA